TGAAATAGGAAGAAAAGGTCCAAAGGGGAAGGGGAAGTGGGAGGGACTGGGGTAAGGAAAGAAGAGATGGAATTAATATGAGAAAAGGAAAAAATGGAAACAAAGTCTTTGTAAATAGCTCGGAGAGGTGGAAGGGTTGAAAGGAGGGCAGGGGAATGGGGAAAAAATAAGAACCAAGATATATTATGTAAAGTACAAATTTCCAATAATGAATGTTATATTGTATACCTAAAATATACCAATAAAAAATTTTAAAAATAATACATTTGAGCTGGTAAAAGAATCAATTGTGAGCTAAATAAACCTCTTTCATTTAGATTTTTTTTTTTTGGTCCTGGGGCTCGAACTCCGGACCTTGTGCCTTTGAGGTAGGCGCTGGAACCACTGAGCTAAATCCCCGGCCCTTAAACCTCTTTCATTTAAAAAAAAAATCACCAATCTTAGACATCAATAAATATTATGTACTCTTTTTTTTTTTTTGGTACCGGGGATCCAACTCAGGACCTTGCGCTTGCGAGGCAGGCGGCGGAACCACTGAGCTAAATCCCCAGCCCTATATTTTTATTTTGAGACAGGTCTTACTAAATCACTAAGTTACCCAGGCTGGGCTTGAACCTGTGATCCTCTTGCCTCAGCCTTCCAGAGTTCTGGGATCATAGGGATGCACCACCACTTCTGGCCACATAACTTTCATTTGAGAAACCAAATATTTTGACTTGTTTTACTACGATACTATGATATTCCATTCACTGTGGTGGTTGGAACAAAATCCACAATCTGACTGAGGTATACCTATACTAGAATATATCCACTTAATACAAAGGAAGCCAGCAAAGGACAAACAGAAGAACAGAGACAGACATGGGGGCAGGGTGGTACAAGTAAATTTAACCATCTCAATAATAAAATAAAGTACAAATGAATTAACTAATCCAAGCAAAATGGTGAGACTATCAGACTGAATGATAAAACAAGATATAATCACATGCTATCTATAGGAAATACGCTTTAGATTAAAAGATATCAACAGGATGAAACTAAGAGGAAGTTTAAAAATATGCAAACAGCAACCATAAGAGCTGGTGTGGCTATATTAATGTCAAACTACATAGAATTTTAAAAATGAGCCAGGTGTGGTGGTGCACATCTTTAATCCCAGCTACTGAAGAGGCTGAGGGAAGGGGATTCCAATTTGGAGGCCCATTTGGGTAACTTTGTGAGGCCTTATCTCAGAATAAAAAATAAAAAGGACTGGGATATAATGTAGAATACTTGCTTAACACATGCACACACACACACACACACACGCACACGCACACACACACACACACTAAGGGCTGGGAATGTAGTTCAGTACTCCTTGGGTTCAATCTCCAGTCCAAAACCAGCAATAACAAACCAAACAAAAACAAAAACCAGAAAACCACCAAAAACAAAAAACAAAAAAAATGGGGATTTAGCTAAGTGGTACAGCCCCTGCCTCAAAAGCGCAAGGTCCTGAGTTTGATCCCCGGTACTGCAAAAAACAAACAAACAAAAATCTCACGTGCCTTGTTTTCAATGATAACAAAATCCAAGGCATACAAAGAAAAAGGCAATGTGTGGCCCATTCAAAGGGACAAGATAAATAGAATATCTGAGGAAGTCCAGATGTTGGATTTATTAGAGACTTAAAAATAACTATCTTAAAGATGTTCAAGAAACTAGAAGAAAATATAGAAAAAATATATGAGAATATAAAGAAATAGAAAAACAGGCCTGGGGATTTAGTTCAGTCGTGCTGTGCCTGCCTCAAAAGTGCAAGGTCCTGAGTTTGATCCCTGGTACCAAGAAAAAGGAATCAAAAAGAAATTCTGGAGCTGAAACATATAATAACTGAAATAAAAATACCATATGGGGTCCAAAAGCAGATTTGAGTACTATGGAGTACTAATCTGTCATAAGGAAGGATAAGTCATTTGTAGGAAAATGGATATACCTTGAGATCATAATGTTAAGTGTGTCGGGAGCCATTCTATATATTTCTTGGGAAAAATTCATTTCATGATTAAATTATGATTAGGGCAGTCTGAGGCCTCAATAATCCCGTGATTCTATGACGCTTATGGGCAAGGTTACATCAGCTGAAGACATCCTGGTTCTTTGAGAGCCCCGAAGAAAGGTTTCACCTGGGGAGGGACAAATTCTTTATTAGCTTAACTCGTCCCATCTACTATTGTAGAACATTTTTGTTCATCTCTTCTAGACAAACGAGCTTAGATATCACCTTTTGTAAATGGGAAGGGGATCCACAGATAGGGGGAAAGAGAGAAAAGAGGAATACAAAGAATTATGTTCTTTTTTTTCTGGTACTCTGATCAAACTCAGGACCTTGGGCTTGCCAGGCAGGCATGGCACCATTAGTGGCTAAATCCTGGCCCTAAGAGATGTTAAGTACGTGCACCTACTCCCTAAAATGAATGTGAACATTATGTATTGCAAACATGTTCTACTAAAAACCTTTAAAAGAACCTTTCCCCCAAAACTGTAATAATCACAACAGTATGAAGCAGGACACAGAGGTGTACACCTGTAATCTCAGCATCGGGATTCTGTTTCAAAATAAAAAATAAAGAAGACTGGGGGATGTAGGAATACAGTGTCCCTAAGTTCAGTTCCCAGTACTGAAAAAAAAAATACGATGCTGGCATGTGGATAGATATATAGACCAATGCAATAGAATACAAGAGTCCAGAAATAAACCCTCATATATAGCCAATTGATTTTTTAAAGCTGGGTTCTTTCTCTATTGTCCAGGTTAGACGTGAATTCCTGGACTCAAGTGATCCTCTTGTCTCAGCCTGCTGAGTAGCTGGGACTATAGATGAGTACCATCACACCCAGGTTGGTCAGATGACTTTTGCCGAAGGTGCCAAGACATTCAATGAGGAAAAGTAGTCTTTTCAACAAAAGGTGCCAGGAAATTAGCACCCAGCTGATATCTTCATGCAGAGGAATGGTGATGGCGGTTTAACTTACACCATGTGAAAAAATTAACTGAAAATGGATCCATGTGGTTGGGGATGTAGCTCAATAGTGCTGCTTAAGCATGTATAAGGCACTGGGTTCAGGCCCCAGCACTAGAGACAAAAAAAAAAATCAATGGTCTACACTTAACTAAAATATAAAAACTCTTACAAAAAACACCGGGGAAATATGATAGCAAAAGTGCAGGCAACAAAAAAAAGAAAATTAAAAATCTACAGAATGGACAGATATACTTAGAAATTATATATCTGATAAGGGATTAATATCTAGAATATATAAAGAACTTCTAAAACTCAACAACAACAGCAACAACAAAAAGGAAAAAGCAGCTGGGTGTGGTGGTGTACATATGTAATCCCAGCGCTCCAGAGGCTGAGGCAGGAGGATCGCTGGGAGTTTGAGGCCAGCCAGGGCTACATAGTGAGTTCAAGGCCAGCCTGACCTACACAGTGGGACCCCGTCCCCGAGAACAAAACAAAATAAAACCAAAGAAACCATAATGAAATACCACTTCACTCTTAGTAGGATGGATAAAATTTAAAAACAAAAGCAAAACAAAACTAACCAGAAAAGAGAAAGTGTTGACTAGGATATGGAGAAATTAGAACCTTGATGGATTTTGGGTGGAAATCTAAAATGGTACAGCCTCTGTGGAAAAGAGTTTGGTGGTTTCTCAAGAGGTTAAACACAGAACTACCATATGACCCAGAAATTCCACTGCTTGGAATATATCCAAAAGAACTAGAAGCAGGGACTAGAATAGGTATTTGTATACCCACAATCATAGCAGCATTTTTCACAACAACCAAAAAGTGAAAGCAACATGTGTCCATCAATAGATGAATGGATAAACAAAAGTGATACATACATACAAAGATATTCTATTCAGCTATTAAAAAGAAAAAAATTTAGACATATGCTGTGATAAATGAACTTTGAAAAACAATGTGTAGTGATATCACCCAGCCATAGTAAGGACAAGTATTGTATGATTCTACTTATACAGGTATCTAGAATAAGTAAATTCATAGAGATAGAAAGTAGAATAGAGGTTGCCAGGGACTAGGGTAGGGGAGAAGGAAAGGAATTACTGTATCGTCATACCTTGGTATTCAAATGCCTAGAAATTCATAAAATCTGGTACTCTGACACATTTTGATATGAAAATTTTGTCCTGGTACTTGTTTGTTTGCTATTTGATACTCAAGTTTTGAAATTGTCAGTGTTGACTGTCTCGTGACTCGGAATTTTTTTCAAAACAATTTTTTTGGTACTGGTTGTTTTTGGTACTCATTGTGCCTCCTGGAATCAATTAATGATGAGTACTGAGTTATCACTGTACTGTTAATGGGTAATGATTTTGTTGGTGATGATGAGAGAGCTCTGAGTACAGCTAAAGGTGACAGTTATATAACATTGTGAATATATTTAATGTTATTGAATTATACGTTTATAAATGGCTAAAATAATTATCACATACATTTTATTATTAAAATAACCATTAATTCACCATAATCCGCTCCTAGTTACACTCAAAAGAAATGAAAACATGACCACATAAAAATTTGTCAATGAATATTCATAGTAGCATTATTCACAATAACCAAAAAGTGGAAATAACTCAAATGTCCATCAGCTGATGAAGGGAAAAGCAGCTGTGGCACATCCATACAAAGAAATACTGGCAATAAAAAGAGTCCAATTGAAAGTGGGAAGTTCCAAGATTAGTGGATTGTGTCAATGTCGATACTCTGACTGTCATCTCAATGAAGATACTGAAGTGTTTTGTGAAGAACATTATTAAAGAGCTTCCAGGGTAGTGTGGCAGAAGATAAGGTGAAGCTTTGGAAAACTTGCCATATTAACAATATCTTACCCAGCATGTTGAATTTTTATACTTCTTTTCTCAACCTTAACGGTAGAATAAAGATAACAAAAGTGTGGAATTTGTGAACGATTTTGAGTCATCTTACCAGTGAGGAGTTCTATCCATGTTTGGACAGTTTCTGTGGGTTCAGTGGCTTTGATGTGTTTGAGAGTTTCATCCAGTAACACATCACCTGTTGGGCTATCTGACTTCAGCAGTACCTTTGGGAAAAGAATAAAGGATCCTGATTTATTCACTTCATTCAAATTAAAATCTTTAAATATATAATATATACATTACTGGCTATAAGTTTGGAGAAATATAAAGAAGCATAATATATGTATTGCTCTATCCTGAACAAGTTTAAAATGTGGCACGAGGTAATAGTAGGAAGACAAAAATAACACTTGATATGGGGCCTGGAACAAATTGGACATAAATAATAATGGAGGAAAAACTCAATGATTGACTCTGAATCTGAACAACCACCAGTGAACCCATTAGTGAAGGCAGGAATGTCAGGAAAGGAAGCCAATTATGAGAAAAGTTGGTAAATTTGGTTTTAATTAGTACAGGATAGCCCAGTTGAAATGTTTAGCCAACAGTTAAACATATTCCTGGAGGCTGAGAAAAAAGACATGCCTAGAAATTTTGGAGTTAATCTCTTTCTCTTTTTTTTTTTTGAGACAGGGTCTTGCTGTGTAGTTTAGACTGGCCTTGAAGTCACTATGCAGCCCAGGGTGGCCTCAAACTCATGGCAATCCTCCTGCTTCAGCCTCCCAAGTGCTGGGATTACAAGCATGCACCACCACTACCAGCTCTGGAGTTAATCTCAGATAGGTGATAGATATAGCTGTAAAGGTAAATGATATTTCCAAAAAAGACAGAAAAATCACACAAAAGGATAAAAAACTGAGGCATTTTAAGGAAAGGAGAAGTAAAGGAAATAGGGTATAGTTAGAAGCAAAAGTATATATGATGAAAAAGACCAAGAATGGAAAGTTTCAGGCAGGTAGCAGTTGTCAAAAGCCATCTATAGGGGGCTGGGGATTTAGCTCAGTGGTTTCTCCGCCTGCTGCGCAACGCAAGGACCTGAGTTCGATCCCTGATACAAAAAAAAAAAAAGAAAGAAAGAAAGAAAGAAAAAAGCCACCTATAGGTTAAAAGAGAAAAACAAAGACTGAAAAGAAGCTGGTGATATCAAAAAATTATAGTTGTAGAGAGTACTTAAATAACAGAAGTTCTGAGTGAAAAAGGTTAGTAAGAAAATGGATAGAGGAATATAGTTCATATAGTGGAGAGGACTTGTAGTAAATGTAAGAAGAGATGTTGAATAGTTATCAGAGAATAACCTGGGTTAAGCAAGTTGATTCAGATGATTCTTTCTACCTATATACTCTATTTCATAAAGGTATTGCTAAAGATATAGAGGAAGAAATCAACAGCATCCTAAATGCAATTTTTCTGCATTAAAAAAAGACAATACCATTATTCTTATGACTTTTCTAAGGATATTTAAGTTTCTTCCTTTGTTATAGGGTAAACTTATTTAGAGAAATAGGACAACTGAATCAGTGATATTTATCTTCTATCACTATTCAGATCTTATTCTAAAATGTATTGTTGATATGTGCGTGCCTTGCCAGAAGTTAAGAGGATGTTTGCAGAGATGCTGTACCTTTCTGTCTAGCAGGCGCTTCTTACGAAGGGTGGGGGGTTCCAGATAGATTCGACCCCGCATGGCCAGTTCTATTAGGATGCCTCCTCGCAGGCCAGATGATATGCAGTCATTCCAGAAAGATGTGTAACCCTAGGAAAGGGGAAAAGAGAACAAAAAGAATGTTCTGAAAGGGGTATGACTTCTGGCCAGCATTTTAAGAATAAGGTGCAATTTTTGTGTGTGTGTGTGTGTGTGATTTGTTTCACATCACACAGGAGCTCAAAGCAGAGTAACAGAATAAAATGTTTCTTTAATCTCCTTAACCTAACTTCCTCCTCCAAAAATACTATTTTCAAGCTCTTTAGTGAATTTCTATGACTTCACTATGAGTTGATAATTGGCATGCCAAATTTTAACTTTTGAGGAGAATTTTTTTTTTAATCTGTTTCTACAACACTCTAAACTTCAGAGTGGGATACAAATATGTCAAGTAGGAAAAAAATATGAACCATTAGGTTTTTTTGCTCTTTTTTATTTTCCCCTTTCAGTGCTGGCTACTGAACCTAGGGCCTTGTTTATGCTAGGCAAGCACTGTACCACTAAGCTACATCCCTAGCCTCACAAGCTGTTTTGTTGGGAGGAACTGTAGAAACCCACTGACTAATTAAGTGCCTTGGGCATGTTACTTAACCTTTCTGAAATGAAATGTCCTCATCTGTAAAATGAGGATACTAATACCTATTTTCATAAGTTTGCTGTGAAGATGAAAAAAAAATGCAAAAAAACATTTAGCATAGTGCCTGAAAAAAGCTGACACTTAAATCCTGTTTCTCTTCCCTAGGAGCTACAGGGAATATACAAAAATGTAAGAAAAGGCTATTGTCTTAAGAAGCTGAAACTCTAGCTGAAAAAACCATTTAAGTTTGACGAAAATTCTGTGACAATATAAAGCTCATAAAAAAGTGGGTTTTTTGGTACGAGGGATTGAACTCAGGACCTTGTGCTTGCGAGGCACGCGGAGGCACCACTGAGCTAAATCCCAGGCCCTCAAATAAAAGTTTAATTGAAAAAGCAGTAGAAGAAAATAGGCATAAACAGCTATTACAAGTTTATGGGACTTGAGCTAGGGTTTGAAGAAAAGGTAGAATATGCCAGAGAGGAAGGATTTTCCAGATGGAGGAAATCATTCCAATTCTACCTGTTCTTTGAAATAGCATTCTAAGCTCAAGTATCAAGGAAGGAGATCTCAAATGTTTACAGAGCTCTACCTCAAAAGTTTTAAAGAAAAATCATGAGATCATGTTGGTTGAGGGTAGGATGTGAAAGCCTTGATGTTTTGAACTTTTAAATAAAAGGCAAATAGTGTTTTCAGGAGTTATGATTAATACAAGGAAGACCTATCAGAGTTATCAGAATTGCTCAGCATTCATTAGCTGTATTTGGCTGTAGCTTTTTCTCACATTGCTGAAGCTGGGTGAGAGATATTAACAGGTAGGTTCTAGCATGGCTTTACAATATCAGTAAAGAGCTAAACTAAATAATCTATTAATACCAGTAATGTCTTTTAAAAAACATTTATTAGGTAGTAGATTTTTAAAATATGCTTCTTTTTAATATGCATTGTCTGGTTTTATTTTCATAACTCCATAAGAAAGATACTACTAACCACATGTTAAAGATAAGAAAAAAAAAAAGAATAGAGGTCACAAAACAAAATAGTGGCAAAATGTTTAATTTTTTAAAAATTCCATTTTCTCTCCTTAGTTGCTTGGAACTTAGGCATTCATTTCTTTTAGAAGTGATACCTTGGAATTTTAACATGTATGACCATTAATTTAAAATTAACAAAGTCTAAATTTTAAAAATCAATATTTTTACCACTTTCCTGGTTACTCAATATATTTTATTAGCTTCACAAATTAAATGTTAATGATCACCATTAGTATGTTGTACAGGTACCACTTGTTTAGATTTGCTCAAATGCTCACCAGTTTCTTTGCTCACCATTCCTTCTTGTATCTCAGACCTCCTTTCTTGTACCATTTTCTTTCTTCCTAATGCAGAATTTGCCTAAGTCAAAGTCTGCTGGAGGGAAATTTTATTTGACCTGAAATATCTTTATTTCACCATCATTCTTTTTTTTGAGACAGGGTCACACTAAGTAGTTCAGGCTGGCCTTGAACCGACTATGTAGCCCTGGCTGGCTAAGACTCACAGGGATCCTCCTGCCTCAGCTCCTGAGTGCTGGGATTACAGGCATGTGCCACCATGCCCAGCTTCCACCATCATACTTGAAGGATAGTTTTTTGGACATAAAATTCAAGTTTGATAGTTTTCTCTTATTACACTGAAGATACTATGCCTCCTTTTCTATCTTCCATATGCACAGTGAGAAATCTATTATTCTTGTGGACTATGGGTTCTTTGTGCAAGATGTTTCATTTCTCCCTGGTCCTTTAAGACCTTCTCTCTTGGTGTTTTGCAGTCTGACTACACATGTGTGAATTTATTTATCCTGTTTGGTGTATGTTGTGATTCCTGATTGTATGGGCTAATTACTTAGTTCTCAAAAATCCACAGCTCTCATCTCCAACAATTGTGGTTTCCCTGCATTTTCTTTATTTTTCCCAGGACTTCAGTCTTTCTTAACACTCTGGTCTCTTAATCTCTCTCATATTTTCTGTTTAATTATTCTCTATACTGCTTTATAGAGAGTTATTTATTTTAGTTTTTTCTTCTGTGGCAGGGTCTCACCACGTTGCCCAGGCTGGCCTTTTAACTCCTTGGTTCAAGAGATCTTAGCCTCCTTCCAACACCCATTCAAGATAAAAATGCTACAGCAAAGTGGTATAGATGGTCTTTATCTCAATCTGATAAAAGCCATCTATGACAAACCAACAGCCAACATCATACTACATGGACAAAAACTGAAAGCTTTCACTCTAAAAATCAAGAACAAGACAAGGATGTCCACTGTCACCACTCTTCGTTTTGTTTTTTTGTTGGTACCAGGGATCGAACTTGGGTCCTTGTGCTTGTAAGGCAAGCGATGGAACCACTGAGCTAAATCCCTGGCCCTGACTCTCACCACTCTTATTCAATATAGTTCTGGAAACATTAGCAAGAGCAATTAGACAAGAGAAAGAAATAAAAGCAATAAGGATAGGAAAGGAAGAAGTCAAATTAACATTATTTGCAGATGACATACTTTACAAAGAAGACCCCAAAAACTTCACCAAAATACTTCTGGATTTAATAACTAAATTCAGCATTGTAGCTGGATACAAAGTCAACACTCAAAAATCAATAGCAGGCCATGCATGGTGGTGCATGTCTGTAAGCCCAGCACTAGGGAGGCAGAGGCAGGAGGATCACTGTGAGTTCAAGACCAGCCTGGGCTAGTCAGTTCAAGGCTAGCCTGTACTATATAGCAGGACCATGTCTTAAAAAAAAAAATCAATAGCATCCCTGTACACAAATAACAAACTCACTGAGAGAAAATAGGGAAACAACATCTTTCACAATAGCATTCAAAAAAGATGAAATACTTAGGAATCAATCTAACAAACGAAGTAAAAGACCTTTACACGGAAAACTATAGTACTCTGAAAAAGGAGCTCAAAGAGGATATCAAAAAATGGAAACACACCCCTTGTTCTTGGGTAGGAAGAACCAATATAGTGAAAATGGCCATACTTCCAAAATTGTTTTACAGATTTAATGCAATCCCAATCAAAATACCAATAGCATATCTCACAAAATTAGAGAAAACAATCCTAAAATTCATTTGGAACCAGAAGAGACCTGGAATAGCAAAAGCAAGGTAGGAGGCATCACAATCCCTGACTTGGAATTATACTATAAAGCTACTGTGATAAAAACAGCATGGTACTAACAAACAACAGACTCAAAGATCAATGGAACAGATTAGAAGATGTAAAAACAACTCCAAACACACTCAGTTATCTTATCTTTGACAAAGTAACCAAACACCTTCACTGGAAGAAAGATAGCCTCTTTAATAAATGGTGCTGGAAAAACTGGCTTTCCATATGCCAAAAATTAAAACTAGACCCATTACAGACCGCAGATTTAGCTCAGTGGTGCCGTGCAAGGTCCTGTGTTCAATACCTGGTACCAAAATAAAATCCAAAACAAAAAAAGCCTAGACCCATTATCTCTCATCATGCACTAAACTAAAATTGAAATGGATCAAAGATCTAAATACTAAAACAGAAACATTTTATCTGCTGGAAGACAGAATAGGTAGAACTCTTGAAGACATTGGTGTAGGCAAAGACTTTATGAACAAAACCCTGATTGCACAGGAAATATCACAAAGAATCAACAACTGTAATCTCATCTTATTAAAAAGCTTCTCCACAGCAAAAGAAACTACCAGCACAGTGAAGAGACAACCCATAGTGTGGGGAAAAATATTTTCCCAGCTGTTCCTCAGACAAAGGATTAATATCTAGAATATATAAAGAACTCAAAAAAATCAGACCCCCTAAATTTAAAGACCCACTTCAAAAATGGGCATCTAAAATGAACAGACACTTCTCAGATGAAGAAGTAGAAATGGCAAATATATATGTGAAAAAATGTTCAACATCAGTGGTCATTGGAGAGATGCAAATTAAAACAACTCAGATTCCATCTCACTCCAGAAAGAATGGCTACTATCAAGAAATCAACCAAATAACAAATGCTGGAGGGGCTGGGGGGGAAAAGGAACCCCTCTCCACTGTTGGTGGGAGTGTAGACTGGTGCAACCACTGTGGAAATCAGTGTGGATATTTCTCAGAAAACTAAAATTAGAGGTTTCATCTGACCTAGCTATTTCCCTTCTTAGCATCTTTCCGAAAGAATTAAAAGCATCACATCACAGCAATATATGCACACCTATGTTCATAGTGGCACAGTGTGTAATAGCTAAATCTTGGAAACAGCCCAAATGCCCATCAACTCATGAATGGATAAAGATGTGGGGTTTTTTAAATATAACAGAATACTACTCTGCTATAAAGAAGGATAAGCTTGATACATTTCTAGCTAAATGGATGCAACTTGAGACCATACTCAAGTCAGATAAATCTGACACACATGTTTAAATACTACATTATTTCTCTGAGAAATTGAAAATGAAA